CTTACTCTTAGGCCCAAAGCTATGGGCTTCCCTAGCCAGAAATCTGGAATGAAGTCCCCCAATGAAGTTGAATACAGATAAGCATAATGTTTAAACTGTGCAGGTGAGGAGAGAAGCCAGGGGTCTTTAAAAGGGAGGGCCAGCGAAGAGCATGGTCCACTGTGGTCCTGGCTGGCTCGCCTCCACTGGAATGTTCTACAGGTTCCCACACTCACCCTGCCCCACACTATCCCCCCAAACTCTTTCTTCTCCTATATACTCTTTGCTATAGATGACACCATGGGCTACGCAGATGCCCCAGGCAGAAATGTGGGCATCATCCTAGATTCCTCCCGCTCCATCAGTCGACACTCCATTAGTGTACATTCCTGTCACCAAGATCCTGTGAACTCACTCCTTTGCGTTCTCCCTGCCAATTGCCTTGGTCGATCTTCCTTTTCCTCCTCAATTACTGAAATTTCTTCCAGCTTTCAGTTGGCCTCCAAATTCAGAATCCCCTCTCCCCTTCTCACTTTCATTTATCCTCCACCTGCTGCGAGGGTCCTATGTCCTCCTCAATTACTGAAATTTCTTCCAGCTTTCAGTTAGCCTCCAAATTCAGAATCCCCCGTCCCCTTCTCACTTTCATTTATCCTCCACCCTGCTGTGAGGGTCCTATTTCTAGTATGAAAATCTAAGCAGGTCATTCTGCTGCTGAAATTCCTCCAACAGCTTCTACCAACTTCAGGATACAAGTCAAAATCCTTCATGAAGCCTAGCATCTGGCTCTTCCCTCTACAGACCCCTTTCCCATGTGTCCTTAACACTCAAGCTATCGGACCTATTTGGCCAAGCTGTCTCATGCTCTCCCATTTGCTGTTCCCTCTGCCCTTCCCTCACCTCTTATACTTGGCTGACCTCTAATCATACTTGGGGACTCAGCTCCAGGCCTCTCCTCCTCTGGGAACTGTCCTTGACTTCCCTCCACTTGACTTAGGGCTCTTCTTGGTACCAACCCTGATCCAGAGCAAGTCTCCAAGACAAGGTATTTTTCACAGCTGCGCACCTGCATCAGGTAGTTTGTTTCTCAGGTGACAGTGAGTCCCTTGAGGCAGGAACAATCTCTTCCGCCTCTGTCTCCCCAACAGCTAGTCCAAAGCCTCTCTCAGCAGGTGCTCAAAAAAGCCCACTGACTTGAATGAGGACAAAACAAACCTGTTAATCAATCTTTCTTCCCTTCTTTCTGCTCCCATGCCACATGGCCACCTCACTCGTCAACAGCCCTGGCCTTTGGATAAGTCTTCAGTTGCTGAGTCTCTACATTTCTGAGGACACGCCGCTAATATGAGGGCAAATGTGCTTATTCTACCACAAACGGGCTTCTCTTCCATATTTTCTCTTCTTTCTAGGAAAGCATGGAAGTGTCTTCTTTTCCCCTCTTGGCCACCTGAAGGCTTTGCATGAGAGAAGAGGTAAGAGAGAAGGTTCCACTCACGTGATGCTGAGGGAAAGGGGGATATTATCATTGAGTACCGACTCAGAGTCAAGACTTGTTCCCCTGGGAGAAGCCACAGTGACGTTTTTGCAAAGAACAAGGGCAACTGAATTTAGAAACCACAACCAGCATATTTAGTCCAAACATGTAAAAGCAGCAGCCTCCCCAGGGAATGTCAAAGGGGGGAGCTTTCCTATTCCCATTCAGGATCTCACTTCTGCCCATTAATTTCTAGATGAGTAGATGATCCCATTCTTCCCGTGGCCTGAGACATTCCTCTGAGATCCCTGCCCCAAGGGCCAGCCAATCCGTGCTTTGGAGCTGACTGAAACCTTCAGGATGGCTATTTACTATAAAAGGAAAAACAAATCAAAGCCGGCAGATGATGCTGATCCTCTGAGAGCAGGAGCTGGTCTACTTGGGAGAGAATTTAGTGAGAATCCCTGGCAGGGAGTGCTGATGCGGAGACAAAAAAAGAGTGGGATCGATGTTTATGAAAAAATAAAAAGAGCAAGAATGCTGGGCCGTGAGCTTTATTTCACACTTTTGACCCGAGAGGCACATTCCTCAGGGACAATTCATAGCCAAATCTGGCTGCTCTGTCTAGATGAAAAGGGAAAAACGGATGAACGCAGTGTTTCAGCAAGGTACGCACAAGCTGTTGGCAAGAACGATGAATTCACACTAAATTAAACTCAATTATGGTGACTTTTTATTCTTTCCCCAAGGTGTGGGGTGAGGGCTGACATGCGTCCCCTGGAGATTTGGAACTCCTCCAAATTCTACTATAGCTTCCTTGTTGTTCCCGTAACTGGGGCGTTTAAAAATTAGAAAAACAGCAATTAGCCGATGGCGTCCCGAGGTGGACCAGCGAGCAGCGGGACGGGGCTGACCCTCCCGCCAAAGGGCCTGCTCACAAGAAAAAAGAGCTGTGAATCCGTGAGGAAGTGCTGGCTCTTTTTAAAAGCACTTCATCGGATTTCATATTTCATTTCTCAGAAAGTAGGAATTAAATTTGGAAATTTAAACCAGCATCTGCTCTTGGACCTGGGAATCAAATGACACCCTCCTGGGACAGGCCTGTTCAGGCTGCTTCTCCAGCACTGTCCCGGGAGGCCATCCCAGCGGTGGCCACCCTGTGAGGACCTGTCCAGGCAGGGTTGGGGGAGGGGCACTCAGGTTTCACAAACATTGGCCCCCAACTCAGGAATGCTGCTGTTTTCGGGCATGGACCTTTCTACTGAGGATATACTTTCCCCACAAATAGAATCCTTCCTTAACTCCCATGTTCCGTCCTTCAAATATGTTTTACCCTTTCGTTTGCTAAGGGCTTTATACTGTACATCCCAATCCAGCTCTTTAGGAGAAGAACAGTTCAGTAGGTCAGCAGAGGGTGGGCACACACGGGAGAGAGTCACCCAGTCACCAGTAGCCCTTGGGCCGATAAAGAAAAACTTGGATGTCAGATCTTGTCTGTGTCATTTTTCTGATGGAAGAAGCTCCAAGGAGACAATTCTCATCAACTCTAAAGGAAGGCACTGAAGAGGCGTATACAGTATAGGGGATAGACCTTGAACTCTGGAATATTTTGGCTTTTATTCTAAAACAGGGATAGGACATTTATGTACATTTTCTTTCATTTGTTTCTCTTTAAAAACATGCTCTCTTTACTCATTTCTCAGCTCAAAAGGCCAGCACACCATGAGCAAGCACACCTTTGCCTACTTTGAGAGAATGTCTAAGGTGTGCGAAAGGCTTCCAAAAGAAGAAAAAAAGAAAGAAAAAGAAGGGGGAGTAAAAGGACGAAAGGAAGAAAAGCAAACAAACCTCTCGTACAGAGCTGTGGGACCAGCATTCCTCTCAGGGAGAGGTCTGTATCCTGGTGGGCGGCCTTCTCACAGACCTTCCTCACCCTTCAATACAAAGGCAAGGCCTCCTTCCCACAGTCACCAGCTAGAACCACACATGCGACTGGAAACATGTATGCCCTCCGGACACTCCACTTCGCCTGGAAAAGTCTGGTCCGGAGCAGCGGCTGCCTCTGCCCACCTTGGCCCCTCAGGCACTTCGCTGCCCCAGGGACAGCTGCCCTGCTGGCTAACCCAAAGCATGGCCGAGCCTCACCTGCGACCCCTCCCCTGGGCCTCAGCTGCGTGAGCACAAAACCACGAAGCATAAGATCAGAAATGGGTTTTGCTACGTCTCCAAAATGATGGCACATTTCCCTGAGAACTGTGTGTGTGAGAGAGAGGACACATATCCCCTTCATGCCCAAATGAGCCATTGTAAACGCTTTTACAATGAGCCTGTAAACACGTTTAAAGACCCAATGATATCCTTACAGGAAAACATCAGGACACGCCCCGCATGCTCTGGACACTCAGCACAGGGCCCACCGGGGATGGCGTGGGCAGCGCTTCCCACCGGCTTCATTCCATTTCCAGTCTGGTCCTTTCTTACAACTGGCACCTTTCTGGGTAGTTGTGGGTAGCTTTCTGTGCCAGGCTTCCGTGGCAGGGAGGGGACCCTGTACAGAGCCGCCTATGTCAACACTGACCCTTTTCAAGGGAAAGATGAGAAACAGCAAAACCTCAGGACTACTAAAGCCAGCAAAGGGAGTGTTCTCTGAGCCTCCTCTCAGCCTCCCAGTCCCAGACACATGACTAGTTACTGTTTCTCCCTCCTCAATTGTTATGAGTGTGTCTCCAATGAGCATCTTTCCCTAAGGACTTGCCCGCCCTTGAATAGCTGGTGTCTAGAAATACAGGACGCACGAATCCTCTTTGAACCTATCGTGGGTAATTTGGAGATCTTTATCTCCTGATGAGTCTTTTTAGAAGAGGGTAGATTTAGAGGGCAATGTAGGAACATTTATTTATGCTGCACAAAAGGTCTTTATCATCTGTATGCAAACCTGTTATCAGGCTTAAAAAACACTGTCAGATTCCCAGTGATATTTTCATATCCCTTCAACAGAAGCAGAGAAAAGGGTTGAAAGGTTTCTTTGGATATCAAAGGAAAAGGGAGAGAGAAAGGAAGCACTGCTACAGTTCTGCATTGAGAGAGGTTGGAAAAAAAAAAGACCCTATGGTTTGTTTTGCTAAATTGTTGACGGTTCCCTGGCCATAGCAACACACGGCCAAGAAGGTAGAAGGCTGGAGCGGCTCAGCATCTTTACAGATAGGGCAGGCTGAGCAATGTACGCGCAAGCAGTAGATCCTACCAGCGTTGGCTGTGACTCATTTGATTGACTGCAAGCCACTGCTTTAAAAAATTTAATTCATTCAAAAGGGCGCTGACCTCTCTTGCTCTGGTCTTGTTTCCAGGTTTTGGCAAGAAGCCCTGGAAGGGGAACCTGAGCCCTTTCTTCCATGGTCCACCCAGGACGGGAGCTCTGCCCTGGAGGAGCCCAACACACGGGCCTGGGGGCTCCTTCTCTCTTGCTGACTCCCTCTCTCCTTCTACCCTCTGACTCCAGATAAAGAGAGGGGCTCTGTTCCCAGTGGTTTCTCATTCCGTCACTCACCTTTCATACCACTACCTTCTTCTTGGAATGTGTTACGAGCAGTGGTCTGATCTTCTAAGTGTTCACTCCCACCACTTCCTGAAGAGGCTACACTGCTTTGTGGAGACAGGGGGGCATGATCGGATGGGAGGCACTGGGGTCCTCTAGCTCGCAAGTCCTCATGAGACATCCATCCATGTCCTAGAGGCTGGTTTGGCACATTCATGGGTGGGGTAAGGGACACAGATCGTTTCAAAGGGCTGTGGTGTGCCTGGCCTGAGAGAACTGGAAAATAAAAATAAAATGAAATAGGTTATTGCCCCCCCTTGAGTCTGGGCCACAGAAGAACCCACAATACCCCTGAGAGAAGCCGCTAGCTGTCTCACAACTCCATCAGCGGTCACAGAGGCTGCAGGCCTGGCCGGGTCCTTCCCTTGGGGGTGGGTGGATAGAAGGGTCCTGCCTGGACCTCTTGGTGGGGGGGTTGGGTCTCTTCAGGGAGGCTGCACCTACAGGGCCCACATCTATGACCTTAGCCTTTATGGGCTGGGATCTGGTTTTGGTTCTGACTCTAGAAATCAGGATTCTTAGCCGTCAGGCCATTCATTAGGACAGACTTGACAGCTTGGCACAGCGGCCATCCGCCAAGAGTGGCAAAAACATGTGCTGGGCAATTTTTTAAACACACAAAACCGGCATTCCCCGTGTCGTTAGGGTGGACCTCCTGGCCAGCAGGGACCTCTGCTGGGCTGAACCAGAAGAAGGTGGACTAGCCCTGAACCAGGAATCAGGGGACTATTCCCTCTCAAAGGGGCGCAGGCTTAGCGAGGGCCCTGATGCTAACACGGATCTCAGGGGACAGGACCGGCAGCTATGTGTGAAAGGGCCGATTCTTTCCCGCGGCTCCACAGGGTGATGCCAAACTCTATATTGAAAACACTTCCAGGTAACAAGGCTTTCATTCAGAAGCCAGCGGGGTGCTCTCGGGAAGCCGGGCATGGTTTCCACCGGCATGTCCAGCCCTTCCGCACCGTGGGCAACATCTGCGCGGCCCCCGTTTTTAATTTCTTTTCCAGAAAACTAGGAAAAAGCAACACGTCTCACATAACTAGCCAAGTTACATTGAGGTCATTCAAGGGAGGGATTTGACCAAAATCAACGCCGAGGGAGCCGACGTTACCCTCGGCTGGTTTTTCTGGGCGTGGAAAGCGCCAGCTTCACAAAAGGAGTCTATTCATAACACTCGCTCCGCGCCGCTTCCTGACAGGTCCGGTTTATTTGGACTCTGCAGGGCTAACATGGAACTGAGCCGCATGCGTTTTAAAACATTTTTCAGGGGAGCCATTAAGTCCCATCTCAAGCTCTAGCCCCTCCAGCGAGGTCTTGGCTGTCCCGAGGCCAGACCAGCACGTCTTTGATGGCGTCAATCTTTCTGTGTTTTTTGGGGGGAAGCAGACCCGACATCCCCATGTAGGAAGTTCTGCTTTTTGTTAAATTGCATTTCGGGTGGGGCAGCACCCACATGAAGACCTGGCCAGCAGATTGCCTTGCTCCCACTTAAAAAGATAAACACCAGAGCCAAAAAGGCTGGGTGTTTTCAAAAAGTGTGTTTGGGACAGTAGTGGTGTGGGTTGGCTCTCATGGTCAGCTGGCATGAACCAGGCCCTGAGAGCAACGGGCTCACACCGCTGTTGTCCATGTTTCCAACTGGCTTTGTGTGGCCAGAAGGGCAGCCCTGTGTGTGAAAGGGGCATAGGCAAAAGGGCTAGAAATTTCTTCAGCAACAAAAAAAAAAGGGGGGGTGGGGGAGGAACAGCAGTTTTAGTATTTGTAATCTGAAATATTTAGTATTTGTAATCTGAAAAATTTCTAATTTGGGTAGAGTGTATCAAAGGCAAGGAATTGTTATCTAACTTAAAAATATGCAAAGGGAATATTAAATTTTTTTTTACCTTAACAGGCTGAAACAGCTTGCATTTCCACTAAATAGACTAGGGAAGACACTATTTAAAAGGCTCCCTGGAAAATGCATTGCTACCTGGTTGGATCAGAATTAGCGAGAGAAAAAGGGGGGAAAAAGGGAAAAAAAACATCAGGAAAAGAAAATAAATAAATAAAAAGGAAGCAGCAGCAAAAATGAAGAGAGAAGCCAATAGGAAGAAAAGCCAGACATCCAGAATATCCATTTCATGCCTGTCTAAGTATTTATATGAAATTGGGTAGACTTTGTTAGGGCTACCCAAGTGCTGGGATGTTTCAGCTTAGACGTCTTTGCTTTCTGCTACCTTTGCAGTCATTTCAGAATATCTGGTGGAGGCTCTGAATGGTGCCAGCCAAGTATGCCCCAAGTGGACATGGTGCTCCTCTTCCCAGCCAGGATTCGAGTGAGCCTGAAACCATAGAAATGGACTTTGCCAAAGAAAGATATACAGCTGGTAGCTGGTGGAACCACTTGGTTAACAGCAGTAACTGAATCCACTGCTAAGATCCTTAGATGCTAAGAACACCACCACACAGATGTAGCTGAATTTCATTCTTGGATGGAGCCCATTTGCTTCTTTCCATCTAAAGTTTCCTTAAAGGCCAGGTCACCTCCCCACTGATGGGCATCCTTGGGGAAGCTGTGAATATCCAGGGAACCCACTAGCTACCGAAAATGGAACTAAATGTTTACCTAACTTAATGGGACTTATAGGGATTTATTCATTGAAATCTACACCTATTTCCTTGCACATTCCTGAGCGTGACTGAAGTCACAGGGGATATGGTATGAACTTGGCCTCTGCCTCTAATAAAACATCAATTACACCTCAGGTGCCTGGGTCTTTTCCCAATGACTTTCTACTAAAGGCCCCTCCCTGTTTAAACCATAAAGACTCCCACAGCTGGCACCAAACTCAGAAATGTCTCTTTAGGATCACCCAGCCATAGCAACCAAGCAAACTGCCTCACATGACACTTCTGATCTTCAGAGAGGGCCATGGATGAGAGCGAGGCTGGACATACACCTCGATCAAAGCAAAGTCATGCTGGGCAAAGGCCCGATTTCTCTTTAAAGAGAACCAAGGCGATACAGGCTTGTCTACCTCTGGGAAGGAGACTGAAGTAGGTGACAGGTGACCTGCCAACAGTGCCACTTTGGGGTGAAGACAGATCTTCAAGTACAGGTAATAGTGACCTCAAAGCTGATTTTTATGTTGTTTTGTGTGAGGGAGTACTTTGGCATAAAGTGGCAATGGGAATAATAAATGCCATGGCAGGAAGAGTGCAGGAAAACAGGCCACGTGACTGTGGCATTAAAGAGGTGGCCAGCGGCACAGGATCGATGGTTGGCCCACTGCTCCATTTTATTATTATTTTTTTAACCAGAAGAACTCATCTGAAGTGGTGACCAATAGAGGGAGAATTGATAATCAGGCAAAAATAAACTCCTTTTCCTATGAGAAGGGAGGAGAGGTAGTGGAGAGACACCTGAGAAGCTTTGCAGCGCTGTGTTTGTGGCCCAGGATGACTCCAGCTAGAGGCAGACCTTTGGAATGCTCTCGCTTGCTGACCACTGTGTAGCAGACAGCAGCTAATGCTTAATTCCCCTGTAGGCTGCCCGAAAGTCATATTCCAATGATGCAGAATGAAGTACACCTTGGGGAAAAAATCTCAGATATACTAGTAAAGGGCAGGTTCCAGTAGGACTCAGGTCCTAAATTCATATTGCATTTGTGACTTCCTAAAGGTGAGAGCACAGGGCCAGTGTGTTTCAGGATGGATTCATCGTTTTGGAAATCAGACTAAAAATTACCCGGGGAGGCAAAATCGTGCCTCTTTTGCTCTGGGAAAACTGAAGCTAAACTTAATCTTATGTACAGTTTAGATTCAATACTGCTTATATTTTTAGAGGCCTCTACAAGAAAGTTCAGGTATGTACACACGTATGTATGCATGTACATGTATATATGTCAGCAGAATACTGTAATTTTGGGGGCACTCAGACATTAAAAAATAAATAATAAATAAGTCTAATTTAAATATGAAAAAGCAGCTAAAAATAATGTGTGATGCAAGCACAGAGGGTCTTATAATCTGGCAATGAAGTCTGTCATACCATCAGGGCCATCCTTTGACCTCATCACACCTCATGATTCCTCTTTCATCTCCAAGCATCTTTACTGTGACTCCTTCCAATGCCTTTTAGGGGAAAATGCAATGCCTGGCTCTGGGTGCTGTTCCTTTAAGTATTTTCTTGATAGCCTGGACATCTATTTATTTCCCATTTCCTTTGACCATCTTTGACTTCTGTCTACATTTGCAATTAGTGAAATAAGATTTAGGGAAAAGCTTTTCGGGATATTTAGTGCTTTTTTAAGAAAATGAGGTATAACTACTTTTTTTCTGCCTTCTAAGAGGACAAATAACAGGGTTTGTAGAAAGAGAAAGGCTTGGGAAACTGGTCCAACTATCGCCTTGGTCCACTGTCAGGTTAAGTGTTATACCTCACTGTCAAAGAGGGAAGTGATCCCCATAAGCAAACAGTCCAGATTACTGAAGCTTGATCTTACACCAAACTCTATCACAATAAACTTCAATGGAGATCTTTTAAAGACACATTACACATTTTTCTGTTCTCTTTAAATTTACACATTGAATGCAACTTATGCTTTAAAAATTATTGTTATGAGCACAGAGTCATAACTGTGGTTTAGAGCTGGAAGCACCCTAAAAGACAACATAATTCAGTAATTCCCAAGTTGTGAGCTGTGGGCCCAATGGGTTATCAAAGACCTGAGAGTCCCTATGTGCACCCAGCGTTGTTAGCAGATAAAATACTGTGCTATCAATGTATGTTTTCACATGTATGTGAAGAGTTATAGAATTAATAAAAAAATAAATTTAAATGTTGCTGAATTTATACCTCTTTTTGTAATTTTTTAAAATATATTTTTTTGTTGATTTCAGAAAGGGAGAGCGAGAGAGAGAGAGAGACAGAAACATCAATGATGAGAGAAAATCATTGATCGGCTGCCTTCTGCATGCCCCACACTGCATGCCCTAATCACAGAATCGAACAGTGACCTCCTGGTTCATAGGTCAATGCTCAACTACTGAGCCATGCCCTACCCCCAATTGTTTTAGTTGTTAAAAATAGAGTCATGAACTCAATAAGCAAACCAAGATGACTGCTGCTCTCTACTGAGTGAGGCTTCCATAGGCAATACTGATGCCCTCAGGACCTTGTGGGCTTCAAGTCCTCTGTGTGCCTTGCCTAGTTATTCTATCTCCTTAAACCATTA